TCTCCAGTGGGAATTGAACTTGTACTCAACCGCTTGGGGTGCGACAACTTCACCACTTCACTAAGTCGCCACACCCTACAAGAATTTCTATTTTTAGTATTTAGTATATCTAATATAAAAAATATAATAAGTTAATATAAAAAAATATTTTTTTTAAAATTAAAGTTTTTATTAAGTTAGAGTCTGTTGGGCTTCTAAGTAAAGTTGTAGAGAAGATTTTTCTAGTTCTAATAGTGATTAAATCATCAAAATTGGTCTTGTAGATTTCAAGATATTTGGGGTTAAAGGCATGAACATAAGGATCTGCAAATTGGTAGTATACAAAATATTAAAGACTATAATACTTTATATAACTACCAATTTGTAGATCTTTATGTTCATGTTTTTAACTTAAAAAAATCTCCTCTACAACTTTACTTAGAAGCCCAACAAATCTTAACTTAATAAAAACTTTTTTAATTTTAAAAAAATTGATTTTTTATATTAAATTCTTATGTTTGTATCTTTAACTTTAAGTATCTTAAGATTTACAAAGCCAATTTTGATAATCTAACTACCATTAGAACCAGAAAACTCTCCTCTACAACTTTATTTAGAAGCTCAACAAATCCTAATTTAATAAAACTTTTTTTTAATTTTAAAAAAATTAATTTTTTTTTATATTTAAATTCAAATATCTTTAATAACTAAAAAGATAATTATTTTTGGTACACCTCGCACCATGTGTGGAGTTTGATTAACCAGGTTTTGTATAGCTTTCACCAAATACATCTAATTATAAGATATATAGCAGTGATTATTATTAACAATCATTGATAATCTTTTTTTTTAGACATATTTAAAAGCTAATAGTATTTTTTTTTTAATATTGTAGCTTTGCTTGTCTTTGAGAAATTATGATTTAAATTGAGGTAGGTATTATTTATTGTATTTATTGTTTTGTTAAACTAATATCAATTTTTCTTCTATTTTTATTTTCGCTAGTTTTTTGAGAATTAGCTTTTCGATTTTGGTATTTTGCATGTTCAGGTTTGTTTGTTTTAAAATTAGCTTTTGACTTTGGTTTTGTTTTTGTTTTCTTTGTATTTACTAATATCTACTTCTTTTTTCAAACAGGTTTTGCTTGTTTTTCCAGAATTAGCTTTTGGTTTTGGTATTGTGTTTTCATATTTAACCTTTAGACAGTGTTGTATATTTTGACTGTTCAAAGGCTTTTTTGGTACTGTCTAATGTCTAAATGTCCAAGTGTCCACAAGTGTCTAGAGCATGTCCAAGCTTTAATAATTTATAAATTTGTTTAAAAAATATATAATTATATATTTTTTTATATGCTGAACATATTTTACTTAGAAATTAATATAGGTTATCTTAATAAAATTTTGAGTAATTTTAATTTATTTAATTGTCCAAAATTGTCTAAAATGTCTAAACTTACTGTCCACAACTGTCCCATGACAATACTGCCTTTAGGTAGATTTCATTTGTTTTTTTGAAATTAGCTTTCTGACTTTGAGTTTTGTTTTTTTGTTTTCTTTGTATTTATTAATATCCACTTCTTTTTTTAGACAGGTTTTGCTTGTTTTTTTAAAATTAGCCTTTAGTTTTGGCAATATTTTTATATTTAACCTTCAGATGGATTTCACTTGTCTTCTTGGAATTAGTTTCTGACTTTTAGTTTTGTTTTTGTTTTCTTCGTGTTTACTAATACTTATTTTTTTTTTAAGATAGGCTTTACTTGTATTTCTGAAATTAGCCTTTAGTTTTGGCATTGTTTTATGTTTAACCTTCAAGTGGGTTTTCTTGTCTTCTTAAAATTAACTTTTTAATTTTTGATTTTAATTCTGTTTTTTTCGTGTTTACTAATACCTACTTCTTTTAGGCAGGTTTTACTTGTCTTTCTGGAATTAGTTTTTCAGTTTGAGCTGTGTTGCTTTCATGTTTAACCTTTAGGTAGACTTTATTTCTCTTCTTGAAATTTGTATTTCTGTTTTGGCTATTATTCTTGTTTTCTTCGTATATAACTATAACTAATACCTA